AAAGCTTTCTCTAACAGGGCAGCGGTAAAACCCCAAACCAGGAAACTGAGTCGTCCCCCGCACCCCTCGTTCCCTAAGTACGTCCTGCAGGCCCCTCACTGCTCACTGCCACTGCCACTCATCAGGCAGTGGGCCATCCCCATGAGACCATCATTCAGTACATGTCCTCTTTGCTACATTATCTCCCTACCAGTGCTGCTGAGCCATCCTGAAAGCCACCAATTATGCCTGATGCATCTAAACACTTCCAGGGCACTTGTTCCTACACACAGGTACAAGCTCTATAAAAACATTAAATGTGGACTGGGCGGGCAGTGGTGGTACACATCTTTGATCCCAGCACTCGGGAGGCAGAGGCAGGCAGACCTACATGGTGAGTTCCAGGCCAGCCAAAGCTACAGAGCAAGACACTGTTTAAAAACAAACATCTTAAATGAAAATACTAATTTCATATGATCTGGTTTGTTGTAGCCTGTAGCCCCCCTTGATAGCAGAAAGGCAATCAGTAAAGAAAATTTTGTCTTCAAAAAAAAAGGAAAGAGGTTACTCAAGAAAGAGAGAGCTGATCGGGGGTGGGGGTGGGGCGGGTGGAGTGGGATGGAGGAGATGTAATTCTAGGCTAGAGGGCTTCAAATCGCATGCTCCTGGCCCTAGCTTCCATCTCCTAAGAAAACAAAAGCCAGCCACCATCGAGTGGCTTAAATCTATAATCCCAGCAGTTGGGAGGTAGAGACAATAGAGTCAGAAGTTTAAGGCCAACCTCACCTACACAGTGAATTAGGCTAGCCTGGAACACGAGACCCTATCTCAAACATACATACAAACACACTTACCAAGCACCCCACAAACATTAGGCAATGAGCCAGGCTCTAGGACTATAACAAAGACCCTGTGGGTAAAACACAAGTAAGCATCTTACCCCACTAGTGAGGTGAGGCAGATCATCACCACTGACTCAAGAGTTCTGAGCTCATTCCCACCAGAAGAATGCTGTTCAGGTACTACCTGCACTCACAGTGAAATAATAAAATTAAATTAAAATAATAACAACAAAATACCCCACATGTTCTTAGCACAAAGATGAATACACAGAGCCATGGAAGCCTGGCTCAGGAGGAAACTATGCATGACCTGCATCAGCTTTCCCTAAAGCCAACACAGGTAAACATCCATCTAAGCAAAGCCAGCCTGGCAGCCAGACTCTGGCCCAAACACTCTCGGTCCTTTGTAGAAATTCTGGAGCTTCCACTTACAGTGAGTATATTTAAACTGTTTAATGTACTGAGACGTTAATTAAATGTGTCTGGATAATGATGACTTTACTAAAGTAAGTGAATGAAAGTCAAAACAAACTACTTTAAAAAAGCATATTTTGTTTTTATATTTACTCTGTCTCTGAAATTTGCCACAATCTTCACTTAAATTAAGAGGAGGGATATGCTGCCTTACAGGTCCAAGCAATGCACACAGAAGACCACTGGTTAAGCTGGTATCATATTCAGACTGCCTTCAAAGTATCAAGGCAAAAATAGCATGACGCTTGTCCCCAGTATGAAATGTCTATACATCAGTTGAGCTAGTGTCAGCAATGTTCATCACTCCCTTTTACCAAGTGAGCCTGCATGAACCCCATGGTTTTTAAAGTCCTTTCAACAGAAGTGCTCATCTGACAGGACAGAGTCAGAAACAGGTGGACAGAGCAGAAAGTGCCCTTTCTATCTTTTCTGTCTATAAGTCATTCTCCATCTCTGCCTGGGAAGACAAACTAAATACAAAATTCTGGGAAGCCAGGCTTGGTGGTTTATGCTTGTAACCCAGCTTGCATTTGAGAGGTTGTAGCTGGAGGATGGCCATGAGCTCAAGGCCAGCTTGGGCTACAAATAGTGAGTTCCAGGGTTACATGTCAACATGAGACCCTGTCTCAAAATACAATCAACAATTAACAATAAAGGTTCTTGAGCTTATGGGTCTTATCATTCCTCATCCAAGAATCACAGGTGTGTTTGAAGGGCTCATTTTGTTAGCCTCTTCACAGAACTGAAATAGATCTTCCTGTATATCCCAAAGGAACCTGTTTATTGACACATGCTGCAAGTACTCTACCATATATCCAGCCCAAAAATTTGTCAGATCGAGAGAAAGATGTTCTCCTGATGAAAAATAAAATGCAATTTTCCTAAGGAAAGGAAAAAAGCCATAAGGACTATGCATTGGCTCTGTCAAGTGGATTTTCTGTGATGACAGAGTGTGTTGTATCTGTACTTTTCAGTTCAGGAGCCCCTAACCACCCTGTACTGAGAGCTGAGATGTATGTGTAGCCAAGCTGAATCTCAATTTTATGTTGGTTTAAGTATTCACATGCAGCTAGCTGCCACCTTGTAGGGCAGGGCTAGCTACATCATCGGCACACTCCTCAGATGGGCAATCATCTTGCCTTACACTAAAATGCCACAATTTGAAAATTTGTTATTCTCAACCAGGGTTCACTTCTCAGCTTTCTAACTCATATTTAAAGCTTCCTTCTGAGTGGGTTTTCAACAAAAATTTGGCAAGTTTTATTCTGAAACATGAACACACTAGACTTGCTGGTATGGTCATAGCAGGAGAGTCAGGAGAACAAACAGAGTAGCTTAAAGAAGCTGACCTGCACTGGAATTGACGAGCAGGTGCACTAAGAAAAGGATCTCCAAAAAACCAGACAGGTTCGTGGGTTTCAGGGGAGGGAATCACACGTGGTGAAGGGTTCGTTTTATGATGTTTACCTCTTCATGGAGGTTCAATAAATCTCCCTGGACACTAACAAGGGACCTTGTTTGTTTGTTTGTTTGTTTGTTTGTAGTACCAGAAATTTATGCAAGTTAGGCAAGTGTTCTAATACCAAGCTACTGAGGAGATCTGAGAATTCCTTTGACATTGTTCAATTTTCCATCTGTGAAACTTAAGCATAGAGAAAGGAAAACAAAATGCCTACTGTCCTCTTGATAAAAAGAGAAGAAACGAGATACATAATGCAAAGAAAGAAATTCACAGGCTCCTGTGTAGGTTAGCCTTTTTAAGCCTTACTCGGGCTTTCAACAAAAGTCATTCCTACTTTGGTGGACTTCTTAGCTGTTCTGTTATGATCAGATTGTGACCAGACTCTTCATAATCAAGTATTCTGCTCATAAAAAAAAACTCGATGAAAATATGAAAACTAAAATCTGACGAGAAACTGATCAACTTGCCAACATTCAGGAGCCTGAAGAAGAGCAAATGTTTCAAAGACACTTAAATACAGAGGTCACACCATGACCATTAAGCTGGAAAGCAAAGAAACTCATAGTTCTGTAGTCAGTAAAGAAGACGCCCCAAGAAGCTTTGCTTAAACACACTGGAGGCAGGTACAGAAATCCCAGCACTCAGGAAGCTGAGTTTAGGGATGGCCTCGGATATAGACACACAATCTAGTCTCAGGAAAAAACAAAACAGGACACTGCTGCCGCCAAGCTCGGCCCATAGGTGACTAACTTCAGTGGCAGCATGGCATCGTTCATGCGCTCAAGGTCATCAGGCTGACACAAATATGTATTATATACAAGTACAAATAGTTCAGTTATTTCGTTATTTTTAAGTAGAAAGATAGCTGCTTCTAAATGCCTATAAGCTCATTTAAAACAAGCAAACTTAAGTATGCTGTGCAAACAATAAATCCCAATAAACAGCATATTTGGAAAAGCCAACTACATTAAGCAAAGGCACTTTTAACACAGCGATGGAATTAAGATGAGACTCAGCATTACAGCAGGAGCTTCGTTTTCTCTATCACTACTATCGCTACCAGGCACTGAGAAGGGTGAGGTGCTAACCACTGCATCCCAAAACGTTGGAATCTCAACAGCTCATTACAAAGAAGCAACACATATACTATTCCAGGGGCTCACAGGATAGTAGAGGGAAAAAGCCTTCATCGGGGGCAACAGAGAACATTTTCTCACATATCAGACCCCTGTGCGCTGTCAGTCCTTATCTGGTGTGCATGGGTAAAGCCTGTAGATGCAAGCTCTGCAGGCAAGAGGGAGAGTTCTGACCCTTCCTGGACCCTCCGCTCTTCTTAGCCGTGACCTGCAGCACAGTAGCTGAGGAACCTGGCCACCAGCTTTGAATGTCCATATAATGTCACAAGAGCTAGGAACCTCACCTCCTCTGTACTATTTTAATCTTAAAGAAGAAATATCAATGAAAGAAACAATCAAAAGGGGGCAAAAGGATACAGAATTTGGGCAGAAATGGAGGTTCTCAAAATGTATAAAGTTTATAGGTAGAAAATAAACACAACTCATTTAGTCCTCTAAAAGCCCACTTGAGCATAGTGTTACTCCTTCTCCCCAAGAGGCAGTCTAAAAGCAAACAGAGAAACCCACTTAAAGACAGGCAGGGCAAATTAACACACATAGAAATTTTTTAAATTTTAATAATGTCAGATTTGTGAGATAAAATATAAATTCTAGAAAACAAAAGAAATACACTTATCAGAAATGGGGGGGGGGGCTTGGCTTAAAGTTGTTACTCAGAGAAGTATCATATTACATGAAAAAAACCTAAAAAACTGTCTTAGCAGAAAGATGGCCCCTGGGCTTTCCTCAATTTCTATGCATATGGACCGAGTGTGTTACATCGGCACTCTGTAAGCCCTCAAAGTCCTGCATAACGCGTTCCTATCCCTCTGCGATAGCTCTTGCAGCCAATTCTTAATAAGTCAATGTCAATCACGTTAAAAAATACACTATCTGAGGAAGCTACCGACAATATTTAATTATAGGAGTATACTTCTGAAAACACCAGGCGTCCTGGCTCAGGTTCAGATGAGAAATTCAACAAGACTTTTTGTTGTTGTTCCCCGTAGCCAAAGCAGTCTCAACCCAATATACATACATACATACATACATACATACATACATTCAATCATGGCTCCTGACTTTTGCGTAGCATTGCACCTGGGCTCATACGCACTAAACGCTTACCTGTGTACCCAGCATACCAGCCCCAGGAAGCCACCATTCCTAAAAGCCATTTGTACATGAGTCCTTCGATGTACCAGAAGCGCTTACTGTCCAGCACTCGGAGGGGCTGCAGGAGGATCACATAGCAGATGTAAGATGGGATGGCAACCAGGTTGTTGGCGACCATGAAGGCAAATCTCATCAGG